CGGGTTAAAGGTAATTTATAGGATAACCAAATTACCAGGTCGGAATTATTTACCCGTTTAACGAAGATTAAATCGGGTCCGAAATAGGGCATTCTGGACCAAGTGATCATTTTGCAAAAAAAAAAGTTATATTTTTAAAAAACAACCAAAATAGGGTTAGATTACTCAATTTCCCAAAAAAAAGTTATTTGGGCCTAAGTACTCGGCCTAAACTATTTCAATCTTCAAAGTTCAAACTCACATTAATTTTCCCAATCAAGCTTTGAGCTTCATGCCGAATAAGGCCTTTTCCGAACCAATCTCTCGCACAATGCTTGGTTGCTTGTTTCTAATCAAATCTATAATTAAGATAGCGTAGCTGTAACGTTCTCAAAAATATTGACATAAAATTTTGTTTCACTTATAAAAGAAGGATCATCAATTACTTGTTTAAATAAAACAGATACATTATAATCAGAGTATAAATCCAAGAACAGGTCGAATGCGGAACAATAAGTGTGCATGTCATGCAGTCAACCCTAGCTCTTCCTTTTGAAAAAACCGAAGTACCTGAAACATAAATTTAAAACCATAAGCACAAAGCTTAGTGAGTTCCCCAAGATACCACATACCATACAAAACATGCAATAATGAGATACGGGCCCCGCCTACACTCGGATAACGGTGAGATACGGGCCCCACCCACACTCAGATAATAATGAGATACGGGCCCCGCCCACACTCGGATAATGGGCCCTGCCTAATGAGATACGGGCCCCGTCCACACTCAGATAATAATGAGATATGGGCCCCGCCCACACTCAGATAATAATGAGATACCAGCCCCGCCCACACTCGCATATCATATATCGAATAAAACACATACACATGCAACATAGATACATAGCATGCAAACAGTCATCGGGCCCCGCCCGGTCATCGGACCTTAGCCCAGAAAGCATATAAACATATATACATGCAAGAGTCACGAAGACAGATAGCATACTAACATAGCATAAACATGGGCCGACATTGGTGCCTTCGACCCGCTAACCCAGTGAGGAAACTCACCTCACACTGCCGAATCACACAGACGATCCCTGGCTGTTGGCTGACAAATTCCCGAACTGTCAATCATCAAAACAACACCCAATTAACAGTTGGGTTCCAATGCATAACCATAAATCCATACTTGGGGTAAATAGATTATTTTACCCTTAACCTATCTTGGTCCAAAACCAAGGCCCAAACTCACACTCTGGAGGCCCAAAAGCCAAAAGATCAACCAAGGCCCAATTATGGCCCAATTTTCCAAATTGGGCCCAAACCCCTTACATGGGCCTTAACCTAAAGCTCATCCAAATATCCCAGTCCATTCAGAAGGCCCATCAACAACCCAATCACCTAAACCCAAAAGAAAAGGCCCAACTCGAGCCCATACACAATTAGGGTTTTCACATGAAATGACAATTAAGGTTAAATAAAAACACTTAACCCATTATGGACTTAATCCATTAATTCCATCATTCTACTAGGTCAATCATACGATGTGGTCGGGCATAATTCATAATTTAATTCCAACGGTCCAAAACGCGGGTCTCGGCAAGTCCCAAACAAGAGTCTCCAAGATTAGGGTTTTCTAAACCCTAATTAGGGTTTCTAACCCAAACACAAGCCAATTAGGTCCAAGATTAAGTTTTTAGGTTAATTAGTGTTTAATAAGTCGGGCACCACCCACTACCACCTTTCATGGCGGCAGCCACCACCTCACGGTGGTGGTGGGGGACTTTCCTTGATTTTTCGGCCAAAGATTGCTCCTACCACATCACGCCATAAATCTCACACAAATTACACCAAAACACATACACACAGCCACCTCCCACGGTGGCTGGTGGCGGCAAGAAATGGCAGCAAGCGGCAGCCACCATGGTTGGCGGCCATGGTGGTTATTTTCGGGTTTCCGGCCAACAAACACACACACACTGCCGACAACCATTGCCAAAACACACCGTCACGCGAGCACACACACAAACGCGGATGCAGCTGGTCTCTCCTTAGGGTGGCAAACAACAACCGGAGGAATGGAAAAAGGGGCAACCGCTCTCAGGGCGGCGACGCTAACAGCAAACGAATCGGAGAAGAGGGAGGTTTCACGATGACAGCAGCTACATTCCACGAGTTTCGGCTCTTCCGGCTTCCCTAACGGTCATGGCGTCCCCTCCGATCGGTCCTCGCTCTTCGTCGGCAGCAGATGCAACAGTGGCAGTGGTGGTTCAACGAAGGGGATGGTGGCGGCTGAAGATGGGAGAAATAAGGGTGGCGGCTAACTTGATACGAGAATAGGGTTAGGGTTTTTCCAATGAGCATGCGACGAGGGAAGGATGGGTTGACGGGTTTAAGCCCCGTCTCCAGCTCCCAAACTTATATATACATATGACACTTCCAGCCCCTCCTTCTCTTATTCCTTTCAAATCAATCCCTGAATTAACCAAACAGCCCCCAACTTTCAGATTCCATTACAATTCGAGTCCACCAGTTACAATTTTACCCCCCCCCCCCCCCCCCCCCCCCCCCCAAAAAAAAAAAATCACAAATATAACTTTTAACACTCCAATGTATACACTCCGCTAATTAATACGACTTAGGGCTAAAAATAAAATATAAAAATTACATCCCGAAGTTATTATTTATTTATTATTTAATTACTTATTTTGATTTAAACGAAATGTTACAGTAGCTTAAAGTAGACCTGCACAAAGGAAACAGTCTCTGCAAAGGAAACAGTCTCTGGAAAAAGTCACAGATCGAATCTATGATCGACAAGTCCTAAGCATCCCCAACATCGACTTTGGATCTAACCTTATCCACCATAAACCTGTATCGAGAGAAAGGCCGAACCGCCAAGAATCGCTAGATCCATTAGGAGTCAAGGTAAATAGACGAGAAACCAAATTAGTCAAATTGTTGGATAGACCCGCCGAATCGATGTCAATAGTCCAATCCCATTGAAATCTGGCATCATTGATTCGATCAGCAACACGACATTTCTTTCTACACTCAATCTTATAGAGAGTTGGGAATTGGTTCTTAATTGTACCTCGTTCCACCCAATCGTCCATCCAGAAGAGGGTATTATCCCCATAGCACATCTCCCATTTTAGAATGTTAGCAAAACAAAGCCTAACTTTTTGGATGTCTGATCTTTCCCTCGCGATATTATTCCACACATCGGAGATAGATTTCTTATAAAGATAATCAGCTGGCTTATCGGCCAAGTAGTGGATGCCACTGATAACTTGACTCCATAGTGCATTCTTATTTGTCTTCAGCTGCTGTCACCACTTTGTTAACAGGGAAACATTGAGGGAATGCAATGCACCCATTCTGAGCCCGCCTTTATCCTTATTAGCGATTACATGCTTACAAGAAACCCAATTAATTTTTGATTTAATCTCATCCCCACCCCAAAGGAAACGCCTCGTAATGCTTTCAAGATTATCAAGAACACAAGCAAGCGCTTTGAAGAGAGAGAGAGAGAGAGAGAGAGAGAGAGAGAGAGAGAGAGAGAGAGAGAGAGAGATAATAGGTGTGAATGTTTCCTAGAACCGCCTTAATCAATGTTAATCGGCCCCCAAACGACAATGTTCTAGACTTCCAATTATACAACTTAGATTTGAACTGCTCAATGACCGGCTCCCAATTTTTTATCAGATTCATGTTTGATCCGACGGGCACATCGAGATAGTTAAAGGGGAGATTACTAGCTTCACAGCCAAGAAGGTTAGCCCAGTTGTTGATTTCGGTATTGGTAGCCCCGATTCCAAAGACCCTATATTTATTGAAATTCACTTTCAAACCTGGTGAGATGTGAAAACACCTTAACATACGAACGAGAGTTTTAAGATTGTATCTAGACTACTCCCCAACGAATAATGCATCATCCGCATAAAATAGGTGAGACAATAAGGGTCCATTGCCAAGAATGTTAACGCCTTTGAACAACCATTTATCACACGCAACCTTCATAGCGACATTTAATCCCTTCATGGCAATTATGAAGAGGAACGGAGACAACAGATCATCGTTGCAAACGCACCTGCGAAAGTCAAATTCGTCTGTTGGAGACCCATTGACAATGGCAGAGCCTCGAGATGAAGAGAGACACCCTCTAATCCACCACCTCCATTTAATACTAAATCCCATTTGTAATAGAACAAATTCAAGATATTCCCAGTTGACATAATCGAAGGCTTTATCGAAATCTACCTTAAATAGTAGAATTTTTTCTTTCATCAATTTGGCCCAAGAGCATACATCATTGGTAATTAAAGGCCTGTCTAATATATTGCGACCATCCACATAAGCAGACTGAGATTCCACAATGACAATACCGATTAAAGCTTTAAGCCGAGTAGCATGAACCTTGGCTAGAATTTTATACAACGCTTCAATTACACTGATAGGGCGGTAGACGGTAGTCACTAAGGAAGACAGGATTATTACTTTGTCCACCAAGGTGATGAATAACACGTTGCAACCTTTGGCTAGAGTATCGTGAGCTTCAAAGTGTTTAACCACATCCATGACATCCAAATGATTCAAATCCCACTAGGTCCTGAAGAACTTAAATGTAAATCCATCGGGTCCCAGCCTCCCAGGGCCATTTGGGTATTCTGTTTTTTGCTCCATATTTTAATTATCTTAATTATCAAAGAAAAAACTGTAAAGCATATTAATTATTTTAATTTTTAATATATATAATAAAATTAAATTTATTATACATGAAAGAACGATTTGGGTATTCCGCTTTGCTTTGATCTCCAAGTTGTATCAATATAAGGAATCGTTATCCCTTTTAAAACCAATCAACATTATATATAGAGATAATCTTCACGCTTCTAATTCTAAAACCCTACAAACCAAAGTTCCAAAAGTCCAAACCGTGTTTACTGCATCAAGAATTCAAGAGCAAATTCTGCTTTGGTCCTCTTTTTTAGCGTAATATACCTGAAGCAAGAAGCATGGCCGCCATGGAACCAATTCACGTAAGTATTTCCGAATTCTGAATTTGATTTGTATGCATGTTTGTTTGCTGGTTGTTTTTTTCTTACTTTTGATTTGTATGCATGTTTTTTGTCTCAATTACAAGTTCCTTAACTGATTAAAGAGAACGAACATATTCTGGTTCTGTTTTTAATAGCAGAAAGCCTTCTTACTTATTATTTTGCAGCAGCAGGAGTTATGGAAGCAGGTCTTCCTTGTTTGGACAACAGAGGTACGTGGCACCGATTATCCATGTTAGTCTTATCACATTGTTTGTTTAGGGTAACCCATTGTGTTTGACATAATGTCGATGACAATAGGGGGAGCTTGAATTGCTTTCTGAATACAGATGGAGTTTCTCAAATCTGGAAGTGAGTTACATTGTACTTTAGTGCTCTCCTCATCCACATCATATATATAAAATATTTGATTCTATCTTTCTCAAAGTCGATTGCATTGAGAAGATAAATGTAGGATCGAATTCGTTACAAGTAGAAGTAACCAAGTTCGTTTTAAATGCTTCCAGGGTGCATTTAAAGAGGGTGGGGTATTACATGGGAAGACAGTCTACCTCTTCACTTCTACAGAGCGTAAGTAGTGAAGGAAACTCATATTTCAAGATTTCTAAAACCTCATGAACCCTACAACGTTAACTTTTACTGTTTTTTATGTTTTTTTTTTTTCCTTTTCGCTGTCTTTTGCAGCACAATTGCTCCGTTTTGGTGATGTTCAGTGGAAATTAACCCACATACCTGCAGTCATTGCAGTAAGTGTAACATGTTTCTTTTTTCTTTTTCCTTTTAAAATATGTATGTTTAGTTATCTTATCCATTATATACTGAGAACAGGTTGTATCTCCATTTCCACCTTCTGATAAGATTGGAATTGCTTCTATACAAATGGGGTATGAAGAAATCCTTGACATGAAAGATGTGAATATGGATTGGGTCCCATATATTCCATTGGGGAAACGGTAGTGAATATCTTTTTTTTACCAATTATTTAATGTTCATTTTTGTTGGTGGTTGGTTACATTGACAAGATGAATCTCATGCATGCTTACAGGGGTTGTTTGGATGAAAGGACTAAACCTCAAATCTTCATGCTAAGCTCATGTGTCCAACGAGGGTAGGTTAAAACTTAAGAATCCATTTTGGCATTTCCATTTCCACAAAAGTAACTTTGATCTTTATATTAATAATTGTTCATACACTGGATGATGAGAATATTGGTCATATTTCTGATTTCTACTAGGTTGAGTAAATGTAAATGTTACTCTTGCTCTTCCATGTTTTATCTTCAAAAAATGTTGCTGACTATACCATCCAATTTTGATTTTGATTTTGAAGCAGGGATGGGTTAAAACATTTGAATCCGAAGAAATTTGAATACTGCTTACCATGTAAATAGACATATATAGAGTTTTGTATAATTATAATTAGCAATTGTTTATAAAATTTCTCGGAGTTGAAATAAGTTAATAATGTTTTTACTTTTTACAGACGTATATAATCCCTCTAAGGAAGATGAGAGTATTAGTCTAAATATCGTGTATCCTCCATTGGAACCAAACCCTGTAAGTTGCTTTTCTCACTTGTCTCCTCAGGGTTTTGTTTTGCTTCTTTATTTTCATTTGTTTGTTCATTTTAGCATCCTACCTTAATTTGTATTCCTTTTTCTTATTATAATATTCTACCTTGAAAGTAGAATGCCGGAATAGAATCATGAAAGTAGGATGTTGTAATAAACAAATAATTGGAACTACATTGCCATGTCTTGTTGAATGAGTATATATCATTTCAATTTGATGTCATCATCCATCTCTCTCTCTCTCTCTCATTAATGTTCTTGATTTTTTATAGGTTGTCACCAAGTTTGATTGGGAGTTAGATGATCTTGAGGTGAGACATAATCCCACCAACACACACAAATTTGTATTGTCTTTTGGTTTGTCATATACGTATTTTTTTCTTTTGTAAAGTTGGTTTTAATGCTCTGATCAAGGTTTATATATATATATATATATATATATATATATATATATATATATATATATATATATATATATATATATAGGGAAAAGAGAATATACATTACAGCCCCACCTAAGCTTAGGTACTAAACCTCTTGAAAATACATTGTTTTACTATATAAAGATTACGGTTAATGGATTTACGATTAATACTTCAAGATGTAAATTCAAGATCGACACAATATGGTTTAGGGTTTAGGGTTTAGGGTTTAGGGTTTAGGGTTTAGGGTTTAGGGTTTAGGGTTTAGGGTTTAGGGTTTAGGGTTTAGGGTTTAGGGTTTAGGGTTTAGGGTTTAGGGTTTAGGGTTTAGGGTTTAGGGTTTAGGGTTTAGGTTTAGGGTTTAGTAATGTTCACTTGGGTGAAGTAATAAACTATAATGGAGGAAAGAAAACAGAGATGGTAAACGATAATGAAAGAAAGAAATGTTATGGAGGATGGTATATGTACTAAGTGAAACCAAACCGGGTATATTTAGCAAGTTAAACGATATATTTTAGTGGTTTAGTACCTAAGCTTAGGTGGGGCTGTAATGTATATTCCCTATCCCCATATATATATATATATATATATATATATATATATATATATATATATAATTGGTATGGGTGATCTTGTAATGGTTTTGTAGAAACTCACTGGTCTGCTGATTGATGAAAAGAAATTGACTGAAGATCAGAAGGATGCCTTCAAGGTAAACAAACTTCTTAATTAACTGAGCAGTAGTCAAAAAAAAAAAAGAGTAGTAGTCAATAGTCATGGCTAAATGCGAAAACCAATAGCAACGTCGCACTTTGTAAAATCCAAGTGCTTGGAGTAGCAATGCTTTTTTATTTTCTTGACTTTTCTCTGTTAAGTCCTTCCAGCATTGTTCAATTCATCTTTATTGGATTTTATTTTATTTTTGTATAGGAACATGTCGAGGAAAAGGTTGAAGAAGCAAAAAGAGCTATCCAGCTTGCAAAGGTGGGTAACTTTCTCAAATTAATTAATTAAGGTGTTGTTTGTTTTTCGTCTGCAGATGTTCTTGATTTCTTTTGTCTGCGTCATGCAGACAACGTGCAGACATTAGCATTCGCAGATTGTTTGTATTTTTGAAAACTGCAGACCTAAAAATGTCTGCACGCCCTCTTCTTGGCGTAGATATGGACTAGAATCTTCTAACATCTTCACACATCTTCTAGCCTAAAAAAACACATATATCTTTATTTTTTTAGTTTTTTTAATTTATATTTATTCCAATTTTATTAATGATAAATAAATTGAAAAAAAAAAGTTACAATACTTAAAAAAAAATGTTCAACGACACAAACATGATATTTTTGACAAATTTATAAATAAAGATTTATTACAATAATGGTCTTAAAAGTTATTTATATAAATATGAAAAAAAAAATCATAATATATTCTTATATTTTTTTGCCAAAGTTTATAAAACATTATTTAATACAATATCGTTAATTTCTTAGAAAATATTTATAGTACATTTTTAATTGATTTAATTGAAAAAAATCAAAGTTGATCAAGATTTGTTAAAACATTCTTTGATTCCTAATTACAATGTTTAGGTATAACTTTACAACCAAAATTATTGATTTTTATCAAATATATACGTTAATTTGTATCATTTTTATTTTCATTTTTTATACAATAATACATAAAAGTTGATCTAGATTTGTTAATTATTTATAACAAAATCATAAAAATATTAAAAATCACTTTGAAGTTTAAAAAAATATGTTTATTTTAGTAGCACGCAGATGTTAAAAAAACAAACAATCTTCTTTTTTTAGACTGAAGATGTTTGGTTCACCTCTTCTAATGAAAAGATCTACAAATATTGTTGCAGACATTTTGCCTAATAAAAAACAAACACCACCTAATTGTTCATTTATATTATTTTCTCGAGCTTGGTCTAAGTGGTCTAAGTGTTTGTATTTGTGGTCAAAGGAAAAGCGAGAAGACACGTGTGCAGAGATAATTCGTGCATATGAGAAGATGGAGTTCTATAAATTCTATCCTGTTGCCACGCCCGACACCCCAGATATCTCAATATTCAAGGTGACTTTGATATATATATTATATACTACTCCCTCCGTCCTAAAATTATAGTCCATCTTTCCTTTTTGGTTTGTCCCAAAATAATAGTCCACTTCTAAAAATAAATAACATTTTTACCAAAATACTCCATCATTATTACTTAACCAACTAAGCATTTAATAGAACATTAAATGCAAAGTAATAACAAAACTATCATTTTATTAAATAAAGTTAGTGATAATTAATGTTTTTCTTAATATGTGTGTTTTTTGTCTGTGGACAATAATATTGGGACGGAGGGAGTATATTTTCTTTAAAATTATCATAAAATACATATAATACATCATGTCTACGTAAGCTTATGTTTATCAATTGTTTGTGTGTGTGTGTTTTCCTTGCAGTCTCCATTCATTAACCGGTACTACGGAAGCGCACATCACCTATTTTGACTAAAATTCCAAGCGTACAAATGTTTTGTTTTTTAGAATTTGATTATGAAGCATTTTATGAAGCAATGCTTCTAAGTTCTAACTAAAGTATGTGAAATTGTTCATGTTCGCATCTATCTCTATAAATATATGTAGGGTTGTTCATTATTCGGATAAAACCGAATTATCCAATTGGGCAATTTGGATTGGACTATTTGGTTCGGATATACGGATTTTTGGATTAGATTTCAACAAAACCGAATTATTATATTGGATTTCGGATTGGTTTTGGTTTATAATATCAGAACCAAATAGTCCAAATAAACCGAATAAACATTTATAATTTATCTATTTATAATATATATCTATAGTTATTTATTAATTTTGTAATTTATTTTTTCAAATAGGTTAAAAACATTTCACCCGATAAAAAAACATTAATATGCATTTTCTCTCAAAAGTTTTATGTCAATAAAATATTTAACTATAATACATGTTCTTATTAGTTGTTTATAAATTTCAAATCACAACTAAATAATTTGTTTTTGCTTCTTGTATAAAGTTGGGTAATATTATAATTATATGTTGTTTTAAAATGTTTCGATTTTTGTAAACCGAATTATAAAAACCGATCCAACCGAATTGTGATTGGTTCGGATCGGATCAGATTTGAATTTAGTTTGGACTGTTCGGATCCATTTTTTGAAAACCGAAATAATTTTGGATTCACTTGATTGGATCGGATCAAACCGATTCATCCAAACGAACGCCCCTAAATATATGACCAAGTTTTGAAATGTGTAATGCTTCTTCCCTTGCTTTGCTTTTAAACCTAGCTATAAAACTTTCTCCTGTCTTATACTAGTGTGCCTTATAGAATTTCACCATTCTCAAATATATACATGTGAACATTTAGAAGTAATTTGTCCATAACTCTTTTTTGGGGTCAATTACACTTAACACCACCATTTCAACTAAGGATATATATTTTCCTTCAATGCTATTTTAGATCAAGTGTTTTTCATAAATTCTGTCACAAACACCTAACATTAATTTATACACATGTTAGATAACATATTGTACTACGTTTTGTCATACATTAGAACTTGCAATTTTGTATATGCAAAAAGACATTAGTGCCCTAAGCATTTATTCATCATTAAAACTATCCAAAAAGTACTAGTTCCGTTCCATGCAACCTAAAAGTTGCATCCAGTGTTTGTAGCACTTTTCTAAAAGGTTTATACTACCACAAATGTCTTGTGAGGCTCAAATTTAAAAAAATAAAATGATAAAAGTCAAAAGTCAAAGATCTTTTTTTCATACAAATATAAAAAACTATCAAATAGTATATATATTTACCTTAACTTGAACCTCAAGTGACGTAAAATGAATTAGACAAATATTATATATACTCTAGATCTCAAATCTCTTCATCTTCATTCAACTCATCTCTCATCAATAATGTTGACTTTTGACTCTTTGACCTTTGCATTAATATACGTGAAAATTGCAAGGTTTTTTGAGCTAATATGACATCTCATACGCCTCATGATCCGGTGTTTTGTATATGAATCCTGAGTCATCACTTGATCGCCTTTTTACCACACTTGCCCTTTGCATAAGCCGAACCAATGCTTGCACAACTTCAGACATTGGAGGCCTGAACTCCGGTTCAGGCTGTGTGTAAAGTGAAGGGTAATTTAGACATTTGATAAATAGTCAGACATCATGTTTATGTTTTTCTTTCTTTAAGTGTATTTTAGATATCCGACAAATAGTCAAACATCATGGTGCTTTACTTTTCTTGAAGGGTATTTTAGATATTTGGCAAATAATTATACATCCTTGGAAGGGTATTTTAGACATTTTGAGAAGAAATTTAATTTTTACCTGGACACAAAGGGCGATGATGTCAGCAAATCGGGACAAAGATTTGGCAGGATACATGCCATTCAATGTAGGATCAACCATTTTGGCTAAAGAATCAATATCATGGAGTTGAGGGGTGGCCCACCTTACAAGTGATTGTTCAGATCTTGCTCTTGAACTACAATTTGATTATCATTTACAATTTAAAAATCATTTATAAATAAATAAAATCTAGAATAAAGAAATCAACTGATTTTTTTATTTTGTCTTATAATTGAGTGTTTTTTTTTTACCTATCCAATGGCTTTCGACCAGTTAAAATCTCCAACATTACCACTCCAAAGCTATAAACATCACTTTTTACAGTGTATATGCCAGACAATGCAAATTCGGGAGCACTGTAACCAAATGACCCAACCAACTGTGTTGCTACCTGAAAATGACCGTTTTACCCTTCTATTTAGAACACCAACAACAAGCAACTTGAACAATATAAATGTTGGTTTGTTTGGATAAAGTGTTGTATACACAAGGTCTGTTTCTTTTTGGGACTGAATGAACCAACTGTATGTATGTGAGTAAATGACCATTTTACCCTTCTGTTCAGAACAAACAACAAAAAAATTGTACTTAAGTCTAGATTAAGTGTTGTATACATAAAGTTTGTATGTGAGTAAATGACCATTTTACACCCTTCTGAGGACGGTTTTTTTTTTGAACAATTTCTTACAAGATTAAGTGTTGAAAATGACGATTCTACCCTTGTGTTTAGAACACCAACAAACAGTTTGAGCAAGTAATGTCAAGATAAAGTGTTGTATACTATACAGTATACACACAAGTTGTTTCATTTTTTTGGATTGGATGAACTGTCTGAATGTGAGTAAATGACCATTTTACCCTTCTGTTCAGAACACCAACAAAAAAAGCCTATAACATGAAACTTATTACCTCTCGCTCTGTGTTTGGTGTAAGGGCAGCTAAACCACAGTCTGACAAATGAGGATTCAGCTCTTCATCGAGTAAAATATTTGCAGACTTTAAGTTTCTATGAACAACAGAAGGCAGACAAACTTCATGCAAGTACCTACAAAAAGGGCATCCATTAAATCCAAAAAAAATAAAAAGAGAGAATATATTAAAAAAAAAAATTATATTATTTTATGACATACTCTAGAGCTCTAGCAGTGCCAAGTGCAACCCTAACACGTGCATTCCATGTCAAAGTTTTGGTTGGATCATCAAGAAAATGGAGTAAATCCTGCAAGCTTCCATTTGCAATGTATTCATAAACCAAAAGGCGTTGACCATGTTCAGCACAATATCCAGCTAATGGAACTATGTTTGGATGCCTTAAACGTGACATATTTGAAACAGCTTCAACAAAATTATCTTCTTCTTGTAGTGATAATGCTGCATTATCTATCTTTTTAACTGCCATCATCTACAAAATCACAACTTTTATCATGTAATAATATCTAAACACTACCTAAAGTAATACACATGTTCAATAAAAAAAAAAAAAACAAATTTACCTTTCCATTTGGGAAATCTGCTTTGTAAACACGCCCTAAAGAACCTTCACCAATTATATTGTCTTGAGAGAAACTATTTGTAGCTGTTTGAAGAGTTGCAACTGTATAAGAACTAGTTGTTAAAGGAGATTTCATTCTCTTCATTGATCCATTTTTCCCTCTCTCAAATGTAGAGTTTTCTGTTATTGGAGGCTTCATATCCACAATGCTGCTAGTTGTCGGTTTTACCCTCTGCTCTTGCAATTCCGCATTAACTGCAAAAAAAGAACCAAACTTTAAAATACCCAAAGTTTATTAAAAGAAAAGTTATAAGGGCAAAATCGGAAAAAGAATGCAAACCTTTCTCGCCACTGATAGGTGTGGAAGTTCTTGTGACATTTTCTTTCTTTTTACCTTTTCGAAGGCAGAAAATAAGTGAAAGAATTATAATAAGTATCAAGAATGCAGAACCCAAACTTATTCCCAAAATACCCCCGAGGCTTAGTTTCTTTCCACTGCTTGTATTTGATGATGGCAGTTTAGATGCTGTAGGTGTGTGTGAAGGAGGAGAACGGGTGCGGTTATTTGGAGTTTTGCCAGGTGGCGGTGGGGTGTATGGTGGTGGAGGGGGAGCAGGGCCATTGTCAAATGAATTTCCATCATATCTATAAAATTTAAAAATCTAAAATAAATGTGTATGATAAAATTATAAAAGTATAAAAACAAGATTTCATTTAACAAACGGCTTACATGAAAGAAGGAACAGATAGAAGCTCCCGTGGTATCCATCCATTAAAATGGTTGTTTGCTATATTTCTGTAATAATAATAATAATAAATAAATAAATAAGATAAAAAGACACAAATAAAATAATGACTATAATATATGAGAATTTGAACTTACACATCAGTCAAAGGCAGACCAGATAGAGCATTTAAAGAACCTGTTAATTGATTATTCTGCACATGACTACCCATAAAACAAAAAGAATTATTAAAATTATAAAAAAATAATAATAATAATAATAACCATAATTTAGACATTTATTAAAGAGTAAGCCCTAAAAAAGAGACTTACAATGTAGAAATGTTTGACAATGAGCTGAGGGAACTTGGTAAATCTCCAGTTAAGTTATTGTTTGAAAGATCCCTTCATTAACATACAGAAAGTAAGAATATTTATAAACTTTGTGTAAAGAATAAAAGATAAAAGAGTTTTTGTAATGTGAATCTTTAAACTTACAAGGTAGCAAGACTAGTGAGATTATTGAATATATCTCCAACAGTTTGAGTGAGTACATTGTGACTAAGGTTCCTGGAAGCCAAAAACCATAAGGTTAAACATTCTGGAAAACATCAAGGAGCATAAGTGTCATTTTATTCTCTCACATGTAATTCAGATTAAACATCAACGCTATGGAATACGGGAGATTTCCAGTTAAATTGTTGTTTGCAAGATTTCTGCATCATCAAAAATGTGTATTAATTAGTTAGAATCAGAATGAAAATTATAAAGATTTTGAAGAAAGTAAGAAAGATTTTTATAAAGATTGAAAGATTACAGGCTAGTAAGATTTGGGGGTAACTGATATGGAAGTGCATCATGAATGTTGTTTCCACTTAAATCCCTAAAAGATAACCCATAAACATATTAGAGACTCATAAAGAAATAGCCTTGTGGATTAATATTGGTGAAATTACATATATAACCCTCACAATGTTTTCAGTGAAGTGAGGCCAGACAACAAGTATCCCAGTGTCCCATCAATCCCTAAACCAGGTAGTTGACTGTCAAAGCAAATAAACAATGAAACAGTGATTAAAAGTTTAAAACAAAAAAAAATGAAAAAGATAAAAGTTGTTTATAGCTAATAATAAGATTTATATCATTTAAAACTTTATGAAATTATTGAACTCACATGGAAATAACAGAAGTGCCATCACAGGTAACCCCTTTCCATGACTCACCACATGGGTCACCACTATTACTTTTCCAATTTGTTAGCTGTGCAGCATTGTTTAAAGATGTGTACAAAACCTGTAATGCTTGAACTACAACAAAACAAAAACTTTAAAACCCCACAAAAACTAGCATGATTGATCCTCATTTTTACACCCAAATGACAAAAAGAATTTGCATATGTTCAATCAAACTATCAATCAACTTATATTGATTCAGGTATTTGAAGTTTTCATTGAAAATCAAGCAAGAAGATAGAGCTTTAGACTCTGTTTTTTTTTCAGAACTATGTAAAGATAAAAAAGAAGAGTTTTTAACTTTGGATATTACATAGGTTACTTTCCAACTACAACATTGACATGTATTATGATTTATGAACTTCAAAGAAAGATTAGTCAACTAGAGACATTTATAATCATAAATCTAACTTGCAACAAAATCAAAAGTTCTTTTGGAAAGAATCTTTGACTCATTGAATCACCCTGACCTGAATCGCTTTCATTAGTAGAGTGCTTGAAATAAAAAAATAAAAATAAATAAAAAATCATTGTGTATTAATGTATAGATCTCTTTCTGGAAGCAGGGGAAATGAAAAGATTTGGTTATTAAAACTAGAAAATGGATAGGCCCCTAGAAGTAACCAAATGAAGAAAGCATAAACAAAACTAACCAAACATAAAACCATTACGCTATTAAATCATTTTATCAAACAATTTACATGTAAATCACACTTACAGAGACCCTGGTAAGACACATTGTAACCAGAAATCAACCTCAAACCTCTCTCAATCTCATCCTAATGACTAAAGCCAACATAAATTTCCTTTTAAAACCAGTGATTCAATCTGTAACAGCTGAAACTTCAAAAATAATCAACTCAAAAGTACCAAATACTCGAGACTAAGACTAAAAATACCACATTAGAAACAATGTAAACAAGCGTGTGGAGTTACCGTCACTGGGATCAGTAGTGCCGTTAACAAAACTCAACGAAACGAAGATCACCGCAACGAACTTCAGTAGAAGAAACTGATCGCACCGATTTGCCACCATTTTCGAGTGTTTTCAAGCAGTGATCATCAAATAAAGTTTGACCTAGAAGAAGACATGCAGTAACAGAAGGGTTGTAATGAAGAAAAATAGGTGGGTTTTGCCATTTAGAGAGAGAAAGAGAGAGAGAGATTCGAAGCTTGGTTTACAGAGTAATGAAGAGAGAGAAAGGGAGTGAGGTAGGAAGAACACACAGTGTAGGTGTCGGCGAAGAAACTCAAAAATCATTATTTTATTTGACACAAATAATAATGTTTGAATTGTCAAATAATTTAATGAAAAATACATTGAGTGTTTAACAATCAAAATAAAAGCTATTGTACTTTTTTTAAAATAAATTATATCATATGCATATGTATGCATGTTTTATTAATTACTGTGGAAAGATTTTGACTGTTTAAGTCAATTAAATTAAAGTTGAAAATAGCTATATTTTTTATTCAAAAACTTTATGTTTTTTTAGGTTTTTAATGATAATATATAATATTTTAAAGTTAAATTCCCAGGTATAGGATTCAGAAATAGCAATAAAAACTTGTCAACACTCGACAAATATTGAGTCAAAGGATGATAAAAAAAACTACAATTGTCCTTATTAACTTTTTAAGGTAATAGAGTTTTTAATAGAAAATCGTAACTTAAAACATGAAAAAATTACAATTTAATATGATAATCGAATTTAATTATTTACAAATGGGTCATTATGCCTTGTTTTTGGGTTCTTATGCGTTTTCTACTATAAATACAAGTGTTTTTTTATTAAACCATGTAAATCCGGCATGGGTATAAAAGTAAATTTCCGCCTGTAGTAAATAAATTTATGTTATTTTACCATGCACCATTTAATAGATTTAGAATTTATTGGAATTTGAATTTATTTAATTAATGGTAAAAACAAATAAAAATATTGGGAATCTCCACTGAAAAAGTTGTCTTAAATTTGACAAGCAAAGTATATGAATCACCCATCTTGTCAGGTGTCTTTCCCTATCTATCTAAACATATCAAATTACTCCCATGTATTCCTTAAATTCATTTCTTAACCCAAAAGTTTTGGGAATTGATTATTGTACCCACTTTCTTGTCATGAATTCAAGTGATGTCATTGGGTTGTAGTCTCAGGCCCGGTTCAGACAGTGGCAACCCAAGTGATGCCATTGGGTTGTAGTCGCCCAGGACTCATGTTTTTAAGGGACCCACAAATTCTAGAGTATATGGTATAATTATATAGAAAAAAATGAACTTATCAAAAATGCTAGAAATATTCTTCTTAAAATTATTGTAATGTTTTTTGTCATATTTGTGTTTTTTAATATTAATAGTGAATTTTATAATGGTGTATTTATTTTCAATTTAACTTTTATTATATTTATGACTTTAGGGGGCCTATTTTTTATTTTCGTCATGGGCCTACTATATCTTTGGACCGGCCATGTGTAGTGGTGGTGATTTTAGTGTCACCTGACATTTTGTGTATTTGAAATTGACATTTGAGTTAAGGGGTTTGTCGTTTGTATTCTATATTATATGTTTGGTGAATGTGAAGTGCATACATATATAAGATGGAATTATAAGCCGGTACGACCAAAAAGGCGGGGGTCAAGGGGACCGCACCCCCTTATAGGGTCCTAAGGGCATCGCTCCGAGCGGGGTCTAAGGGGCAGAGCCCTTCGGAAAAATTGAATTCGTTTCTGTATGGAAAATCCGAATTTTAGTAAATGATTATGATAAAATTGACAAATCTCATTAGTTTTGGAAATCATTGATTATGTCATTAAATTCGAGATTCTTCTAACTAATTTAGAAGATTAACCCCTAATATGTCATGTAGATATACAGCTCTTCCTTTGAGTCGTAAACATAACCTTTTTCTCAACTCTTCTTTTTCTAAACGATCTCAGAATTCTCTGGCGATTTGGCTTGTGTTTCTATGCTTAGAAACACGAGTGTCCTTTTGGGTTATCCTAGATTGGATTTCATGTAACCCAGACATAGGGTGGAAATATCAGTTCGGAAAGTGAACATACACAATCCATAAGGAATCAGGATTTCTACCATCACCCTACTCGTATATCCTCCAACATGTAGTCTAGGTTTCAAGTAGAACCATATAAGTAGCCAATTTAATAGTTTCATTTGTTGTTATGATGTTTTAATAGGGGTAAGCATATTAATCGAACCAAAACCAAATTGACTGAAATAACTGAACCAATACTAAAAGATATGGTGCAGTTTGTAGTTTTGATTAACTGAACACATATGGTTCAGTTATGGTTTTCATCTAAAAATAAACCACTATAAACCGAACCGAACCAATAATATTAATAAATATTTTTTAATATAATATAATATTTTTACATATGGTATGTAATTATAATGGAAGTTGAAAATTTAAAGTGTAATTATTTTGAATTAGATTTTTTTAGAACAGCTAGTTAGTATACGTCTGGAACTGAACTTAATGCAATTATATATACATAAGCATTCATTTTTATAGCAATGAACTTTATGTTTTTCAATTTTTATAGAAGTGTATTTTTATTTTTATGTTGTTTTGGACCATCATGATCAACCAACACTAATCATTAACCATAGTCATTAAGTGACTAAAACCGTTAACCAAAACCAATATTAACCGCTACCGAATGGCTATCAAAATATATTAACAAATTGTAATGGTTATATTTTGGTTTTGATCAATAACCAAACCATCACATACACACCTCTATGTTTTAAATTGATTTTGTATAAAATATAAAAAATAGTAAATTGCACAATTTGTACGGCTCATGTCGAATATGTACCAATATTCATAACGTATAGATAAATTGGGGAATATGAGCAATATTTTGGGCATGCTAGGCTCCCAATTCAGGGACTATACGTTAGAAAATAGGGGATGAACAGATTGTTTGGATTCTCTGAAAGTCGTGATTCACTATCAAATTGAAGTATTTCGATGGTACAGATCGAACACTCAATTGGATGAAAATCAGAGAACGAAATCTGAGAATGTATGTGAAAATGTTCTTCAAGATGTACCAGAAAAATAACCAAAAAACGGATATATCATTTCTGTAGGAAAACTGTAAATAGACAGTTACAAACTGTCATAAAAACTACCAAACCTGTCATTAAACGGATCTCAGGGAAAAAAGGGTCAACTTTCTAAAATTGGATTTTTGATGCATTTTTTAATACCAGCCAGGGGCTCTGCCCCTTGGACCCCGCCAGGGACTGCCGCCCGTGGGACCCCGCTCCCAGGGGCGCTGCCCCCGGACCCCGCTCCCAAGGGTGCTGCCCCCGGACCCCGTTCGTTTAGGGGTTTCGCCCCTATATAACAATGTACTTTGAATCTTGAAAAACTTGAACAAGTATGCACTCCTACACCATCCTAACTTGTTCAATATTCAACAGGATCACTTTTGGTGAACAAATTTAATCCTATTACACTTAAATAATATTGATGATATAAAATCACCAACACTATATAACTTAAATATGTTGTCGTTTAGTTTGTCAAGTACCTTAAAATTTACCTTAAATAGTTGTTTTGAGACATAGAGCTAACATCATGCTTTAATAATTTAAATTATTGAGCTTCATATATGTAAAGTGACTTTCCACAAGGTAGAAATCAATTATAGTTTTATTACTTAGAAAATTTATCTCTAATCCTAACGAATCATGTTTTCATGATGAAAATGTTTTTTTTTTGTTAATTAATTCAATTTAATTGTTAATCCCTTAAATTATCTCGTGATAGCTCACTTGGTAAGACATTTGAAAGATGTGGTTTGTTAACCAATTGGCTCATGTTTAAATCATTGGAAATAGGAGAATGATTTGTGACACAACTCCATAAGGTTGCTTAGTATTATCGTCAAAAGCGAGTCTAGGGATGAGCATTTGGACCAGGGAACCGGCCGGAACCGGTACCGGAACCGGATAGAACCGTTTGGGTCGGGACCGGGACGATATTCTTGTGGGTTTTTGGAACCGGGAACCGGTAGGAATCGGAAACTGTAGAATCGGCAAAAACCGATAGAACCGGCAAAAATTGGAACCGTTTGTTGATATTTCTTGAGGATCGGTTCCAACATTGAAGACACGACAAGAATCAAATGGAACCGGGAACCGGTAGAACCGGCGGCCCGGTTCGGTTCTTAATTTCGGCCGACTTCGGTTCCCGGGCCGGGACCGGTTCCAGCCAGGTCAGTTCCTTTGCTCATCCCTAAGCGAGTCCTCTTCTCCATTACATTGAAATCAGGAAATCGTTGTAGTAATGGTTAATCCAATAATCCCTTATTAATATGAATTTTGGTACTTTAAGAGTACTTTGTTATATTCTTGCTATGGACCAAGAATTTGTTTTGGCTCGCCTTAGAGTTAGTAAGTTGCATTATGCATGCTTTTACGTCTTGAACAACTTCAAACATTATTTAAAAAATAAATAGATTTAAATTTATTTCGGCAAGTCCTATAAATAGTAAGTTGCATATTATATGTAGTTTTTAGGTTATAAAATCTTGAAAATATATTTTGAAAAGCACTCATAATTTGTAACTATTTATATTATAAAATAATCATTAGATAGTTTTAACATTGAAGCAAGTGATCAAATTGAGACATACAAATTAAGTTGCATTCAAATAAAAAAGTGGAGTATGAGAATAGTAATTAAGAGAGTACGAGGGTGCAAAGTGATTATTTTTGAAGTATAATAACTAGATTAAGATTTCCCAATAGCCCAGGGCAGTATATACAATATGTGTACACAGCCAATGGGACATAAGAGAATGACCAAGGTACCCTTTGCACTTGGTAAGTATTACAACAATTATCCTTGTCTTCACCATGCTAGGAGCCTAGGACCACCGACGGGAAGGGTATTTAAGTAAATTACAAGGGAAGTGGAATGGGGCAGATGGAGCCAATATTAAAATGACCAAAAGCTCCTCGCGACTTATAAAAAGGCACTTTTTTCAAACATTTGACTTCGGAATTTTCTGTTTGGGAAGACACCTTTTTGTCCGGGGGGGAAATTCATGAAAGTGACGATTTTACTTTAGAAAATATATAACCCAAAAGGGTACTCAAATGTATTTTCACTTATATAACTATATTACTCTTCTTTTTGTATGCATCGGTCAAACCTTTAGTTAATTTTTCTTTTTTCTTTTGGGTCATTTTCAATAT